CTGGTATTTCAGCATCTAAGGTCCTTGCTGACATGGAGACCTGCTTTGGCCAGGGAGGCTGACCTCCGACACCAGAAGCAGCTTGTCTGCAGTGTCCTCTCAGTGCAAACCAGACCGAACCCGGAACACACATCAACGCCTTCCTTGTTGGGCACCAGGTCACTGCATATCTGCCCTAACCACCCCCAAGGTCAGGTACAGCTCGGGACAGCCCAGAGTCCTCCTACGCCTGCTTGGCCTGCTCCACCCTGCTGTTCCTGCAAAGACCACCTGATCGGCCCTTGCACACACCTATTCCCTCCGCCTGCTCCAACCCTAGCACTTCCCCGGTGGCCCCACGTTGTGTTCTGGTTCCTGCTTCGAGGCAGTGAGCCTCACTTCTTCCCCTGTGACACCCTTCTCTGTATCCATGTGTATCACACCCGAGAAAAGCCAGTCCCAGCACAGCGTCTGATGGAAGCCATATGCTTCTAGGTCCCATTCAGCAGGCCACACAGGGCAACTGCATGTCCCTTGGCCCCTGGTGCCTGTCTAGACAATGTTTGACTTTGCATCACAAAAGGCGCCCTGTGATGTCAGAGGAGCCATGAATCACAGTGATGGCTGGCTTCCCTAGTATCCAAGAGACCTCCCCTGGCTGCTAAGTCACCATCCCCCCCAGACCCCCTATGAGAACCAGTCACTGTGCTGAGCATCAGCTAAAGGGCCTGGATTCCACATGGAATGACCCACATTGTGTCCCTCTAAGGACCAGTCAGCCTCTGGCTGATTTCCTGCTCCTCGGTGTCCTGGGAACCCATGCTGTTTGCTCCTGCGGGAGCCTCTGTGGCTGTGCTGAGCACTGGCTGCTCTGGCCAGGGTTTCCAAGCCGCCCCCAGGCTCCAGGCTCTGGGACCAGGCTGCTGCAGACTGTGAATGAGGCCTCTCCTCTGCCCTCTGCGTTCCCGCCATCTGCAGGACTGAGTTCCCCTGCCCTGCTCTTTCAAGTGTATTTGTTGATGTTTCTCCATCTCTGATAGATGGAGGGACAAATGACTTGCTTGCTGAGCACACGTGCCTGAAGCCCAGGTCCGCTTCTCCCGCACGTGGGAAGATGGATGGCCCTACTCTCCTTGGTGGTCCTACTCTCCTTGGTAGGGACAATTTCAGAAAAGTGCACATAGTCCCAGCCAGCGTATTTCATGAAAAAGGGAGTGGGAGCCAGGTGTGATGGCACATGTCTTTGGTCCCAGCGGCGGCATGTAGATGAATCTCTGTAAGTTCCAAACCAGCCAGGGCTACATAGTGAAACCCTGTCTCAAACATAAAATAAAATAAACAAAAATGGTGGTGGTGAGGTGAGAAAGAAAGCTCAAGAGTGAAAGCAGAGGCTTGATCCCCTTCCCCTCCTTCCCTCCTCCGTTTCCGTTTCTGCTTTCTGGCTGCCATGATGTGAATCTCTGAACCTGTGAGCCACGAGAAGCCCTTTAACCTTTGAACTATCCCCCTGGTGGTTGTCCCGGCAACAGAGATGTCTGACTCCCGCACCCTGCGGCTGTAGTGGAAGATCTCTGAAGACAGGGCCTTTCTGCCTGGTTCATCCTTATTCCCTGGTGCCTGGTATTACTGGTACCTTCTAGATGCTTCTTGAATAACCCAGTGAAAGAGAGTATGTGTGAGCAGCAGCAGCTGCCCCGGCTTGTCCGTCTGACCTGGTCCCAGCATCCCAGTATATCTTGGGCACATGCACATTCTTGACCATCTGCCTCTCTGGTACTTGGTAGGCAGCTCCATCTTCCTACGCTGTGAATGGGCTCTTGTGTTAGCAGCGGACTCGCTCTGATGAATACGTACAGAAAAGAGGATTTCCTAAGACAGAAAGGCCAGCTGAGCGATGATCCCCCAAAGGAGCCAGACTCAGACTTAGAAATGAGAAGGTCACAGGGCTAGGGAGATGGCTCAGGGGGTAAAAGCACCAGCCGAGCATGTGTGAGAACCTGAGTTCAAATCCCCATAACCCATGAGAGAAACAGGTCGGTAATCCCGGCATTTCTGCAAGAAGGTGGGTGGTTTAGGGCTGGAGAGATGGCTCAGTTGTTAAGAGCACTGACCCGCGGCTCTGGCAGAGCAGAGGATAGAGGTTTGGTTCCTGGCACCCACATGGCACCTCACAACTATCTGTAGCTCCAGTTCCCGGGGATCCAGTATGTGGTGCACAGACGTGCATGCAGGGGAAACACTCAAACACATAAATAAAATGAATCTAAAAACATGGGAGGAGTAGACGGGTGGATTTCTATATGGTGTATATGAAGACTTATAGGCCAGGTGCTGGGAGTACACAGCCCCAAAACACAAGAGACCCTGACTCAAAGGAGAAAGAGGTCTGGGATTGAGGCCTGGGTTGTATTCTGACCTTCTGATTGCTACACATGTCCCATGGAACATGTGCATTCACACACACACACACACACACACACACACACACACACACACCACTTAAAGAAGTTATACAACCCAAAAGTCCAACTCTCAGCCCACAAAGCTGCTCGCAGGACCAGACCACTCTCTAGACACTGGTACTGACACCCACTATTACCCAGAGCACCAGCACGGGGTGCTGACATCTGACCACGGCCCCTTTGTCAAAAGAGCTCTGGGGCAAGTGTGGGTCCTCCAGCCGTGAGCCATCCCAACAACTTATTTCCTGAGGTTCCTCATCCTAAAGTCACAAGATTCTGACTGAAAATGTGTGTGTACGAGTGCACCTGACTAATACAATCAGAGCCCTGACAGCCCAGAGACGACCGAGGTTGGACAACAGTGTCCTTGGAGCCTACGGTTAGGGTGGCTGCTTCCAGGGTGCGGAGTTAATGGAAGTTTCTAAGTGGCTCAGACAGAGCCAAGTGTGCTGTACACCCGAGAATCACAGCACTGCAGGAGCTGAGGCAGGAGGATTACAGGTTTGAAGCAGTGTGAACTACAGAGCAAGACTCTGTCAGAGAGGAAAGAGGAAGAGGAAAAGGAGGAAGAAGAGATGGAGGAGAAAGGAAAGGAGGAGCACAAACAGAGGGAGAAGGGGGAAGGAGATAAGGAAGAACAGAAGGAAGAGGAAATGGAGGAGAAAAGAAGGGATCAGGAAGGAGGAAGAGCAGGAGGGGTGGAGGAAGAGGGAGAGGAGGGTGAGTAGGAGGGGTGGGGGAAGAGGGAGAGGAGGGTGAGGAAGGAGAGGAGGAAGAGCAGGAGGGGTGGAATACTCCCCCAAGGTCTTTTGGCAGGT